CCAGCTGTGTCTCTGAGTGTTTGGGTCGTGCGTCTGGTGAGACGGAACACTGTTTGGTGAGAAGGTGCTACCTGAAAGGTTCCTGACCGATGAAGCACTTAAGTGACGATATACTGGTCTGCATCTAATAATGCTTACACGCTTACTGATTAACGTGACTTAGTCATCCGTGAGCGACCTAATTGATATTTTGAGCGAGCTGCTAACTAGGCGAGATGTCTCAATCACCGTCAAGACCCGTGTGCAATGAACCCACGTGGGTTAATGCCCGGCTTCGAGTGTGAAATACGAGTTATTACTGGGGGTTTAGGACCATTGCTGCCTTAGGGTTGATTGCTCATGTGAACATGTACTTTTCTTCAATTTTGACAGTCGATATTTCGAGGAGCTTCTAAAACACCCAGGCAACTGGTAGTTTGGGCACGTTTTCCACTACTCGCCTTATGAGTTTGGTGTCATCAATGCCCACCTAGATAAAGAAAAGTAGCCCTGGCTTTATACAATCAATCAGGACACGGAAGTAGTTCTTAGCCCCTTTTATCTGCATCCCTACCTTCTGTTGCTGATGATAATCATCGAGTGCGACGGTGTCCTAGTTGCGACACAATCAGGGTTTGTTAGATCACAGTCGTATCAAGTACAAATAGTTGATAGGCTGCATACAAAGAAGATTTACAGGGATATGTTTCAATCAGTGACTTTAAGTCTCCCCACTCGATCCTCTCTTCAAACCGCAAGGAAGCATGTAATGAGCCGACTGCGTGTGCAACGCTCAACCACTCGCGGTTGCCAGAACGTGCGTGCGCACCACTGTCTGTCTACCCCAGTCCGGTCTGGCCAATTACTTTGAAGGCTGGTTGACACAGGACCTCTGTTATAATCTTGTGTTCCTGTGTCAACACTGGTTATATCCACCAGTTGCGGGTTAGGAAGAGAAGGCAGACAGGATAGCAGATTGTACTTTACTGTTACTAGTTCTGCTTTTATGTCAGTGTTTTCTTCCGTTGTCGGTAGCGCGTCCCGGCCAACAGCAGATCGCGTGTCACTAGCAGCAGAATGTTCTGTCGTCGGTCTCGGCTAACAGAGTCCCGTGTCTCCCAGCAGCAGAATGCCCTTCTGCTTGCAGCCTCGCTATTTAAGGGCCAGTAGTAATCGTTCCATACTGGCCCTCCACGAGTGGCCTCTACAGGCAGCCATCGTGCCCTCAGGTGACGCTTGGCGCGCGCGCGCGCTTTGCCCCTGGCCAGGCATGACCTCACAGATGGCAGACCCCGGCCCGTGGTTGTCCTTTCGTGCTCGCGTGTTGGCCTTT